AAAATAAGAAATATAGATGTTGATTTCCAGGAAATAGAAGATGCAAATAATGATGTATTATTAATTTTTATTTTTTTTTATTTAATTTTTATTTATTAATTTTTATTTATTTAATTTTTATTTTTATTTATTTAATTTTTATTTTTTTTTATTGAATTTTTATTTTTTTTTATTTAATTTTAATCCTTTTTTTATTTAATTTTTATTTATTTAATTTTTATTTTTTTTTATAACTATTTAACTTATTATATTTTCAAATTTTTAGTATAGAATACCACTACTCAATATTACAAATAAGTCTTGGCCTATACATTCGAAACATGAAATTATTCGTAATGCTGCTCTTTTAAATGTTGAAAGAAACCGTGAATTTATTAAAAACAAAATAGAAGCAAAATATAAAACAAAACGAAATCGAACATATGAACCTGGTGATTTAGTAAAAATTCGCATCCCTACTATTGACAAATTAAAGATGGATCGAAGGTCTCTACCATGCAAGGTCCTTCAAAAGAAACCCAACCATGATTCTTACCAAGTTGCCTGTAAATTTGGAATCCTTGACAATTGGTACTCAGCAAATGAACTTGAACTACTGGGTACCCCTGATTATCCCGATCTCAACATTGTACCACTAACTAATACACTTTCTTTAAGAGAAGCAAGTGTTAGACAAAATCTTACATGCCCAACTCGGAACAACAAACATCCAACCCATAAACTTCAAGATGACCAAGCTCATAAGTAAGTGATAAAAAAAGACATAATAATAATAATAATAATAATAATAATAATAATAATAATAATAAATATTAATTACGTAATTTTTAAAACATTAGTGTTACGAATGATAATATTGGTTCAAGCCAAAATACCCAATCAGATAACTGCCAATGCCAAAAAACAAATTGCAGCACCAAGTCATATTCTTGCAGAAAAAGAAATTCGCTATGTTCAAGGAAATGCAGATGTGTTTTACGTGGAGAATGCAAAAATGTTTAATTATATTGTTAAAATATGTATGAATGTTTGAATGCATTCATTTAGTATATGCAAATTTAGCATTTATGCAAGCGTATGATAATTCATTTTTATTCTCTTTTTATTTTTTTAAAAAATTTATTTTAATTTTTAGTTTTTTTTAAATTTTTTCGCTTTTTTTTTTTTTTTATTAATCGGCAAATGGATACTGATTTTAAAATGACGTATGTCATTTCACAATTTATGAATGACACATGTCAATTAATAATCGACGTGAATTGAAAAATGACGCAGAACATTTATAATCAATTTTTGTATAAAAATAATAATAAAGTATAAAATAGGTTTGTATGAACAGTTATATAAAAGAAAAAAATTAGTAATTAATAAGAGATCTAATCTTTTCTCTCAAACCAATGTAAAATGAATATTTGTGTTAACATTGCATGTTGAAGAAATAAAGTGTTGGTTGGAGTTAATTAAAGAAGTAAAGGTGTTAGTTGAAGTTAATTAAAGAAGTAAAGGTGTTAGTTGGAGTTAATAAAATAAGAAAATAAATAGAGAAAACAAACAACAAACTTTTTTTTTTAATATGAAAGAAATTAATTATTTAAAAAAAGTCTGAGACCCAAACATTCTTGTTACAAAATAGAAGCATAAACATATAAATCTGAACATTTTAACATTTGACTAATTAAATCAAAAAATATATATATATATTTATTTATTTTATTGATTTTTTTTTTTTTAAAAAAAAAAAATTATCAATATAATTTCTAAATATTGGTGTGGTGTACTTGTTATTTGTGCTCATCAAATAATGATGGTGGTTCATGAACATCAAAAAGTGCTAAAACTAGACATTGATGACATAATAAATAAAATATCCAAAGTCCTAGTAATGATTCAACATTACAAAGTAACATTCAAATTTTAGCTACAGACAATAATTTTTATCAAAATTCAGTTGAGTTTAATCTAAATTTAGAAGAATCTCTGCAAGCCTATCAAGATTATAAGAATAATTTAGAAAATTATAGTAACTTTGATAATAATTTAGAAGTAAATAAATTTGAAAGTGGGTTCGAATTAGAGGATAGTTCAGGGCATAAAAATAAATTGATATATAAATTGAAAAGTAGAGATAAATTAGAAGATTGTGACAAATCAGTGAATAGCTTGGAAAGCAGAAATAAATTTAATGATGGTGATGAATTGATGAATAGTCTGGAAAGTGAAAATGAAGTTGAGAACAATGATGAATTAGAGAATAGTTTGGAAAATAAAAATGAATTTAAGAACAATATTGAATTAGAGAATAGTTTATGGAGTAGAAATAAATTTGAGAACAATGATGAATTGAAAAATAGTTTATAGAGTAAAAATAAATTTGAGAACAATGATAAATAGGTGAATAGTTTAAAGTGTGGAAATGAATTTGAAAACAATGATGAATTAGTAAATAGTTTAACAAGTGGAAATGAATTTAAGAACTATAATGAATTAGAAATAGTTTAGAGGGTAGTGATGAGTATATAAGCAGGCTTAAGTATGAAGATTCTAATAATGAGTCAGAAAGTGATAGTAATAATTCAACTATAACAGATACAAGTAATATGGATATTGAAGGTAATATACTATATTATAATATCTACTAGTATACAACTTTATTTATTTATAGCAACTTTATTTATTTACATATAATTAAATATTAGAAAATATACTCTTTATATCTCCTAAACTTGCTACTATGATTCAACTTTTGAAAATTAAAGTGCAAAATAATCTTACTGATGAAGCCTTTTTTGAAATCATAAAGGCTGTAGTTACAAAAACTATGAGCTTATATTTAATTAAAAAAACTATTATCATTAATTTCATTTAAACTCGTGTGAATAGATATGTGTATCAATACCTGTTGTGCTTATACTGGTGATTATAGTAATCTTACAGAATGTCCATATTGCAAAAAGGAATGATATCAAGCTGAATTTCATAATAACAAAGATCCTGAAACACATTGTAAATTTGCATATTTTCCAATTATTGATCATTTTATAATGCAATACCAAGATGCAAAACAAACAAAAAATCTACTTTATCATTCAGAATATGTATCAAAGCCAGAATATCAATGTAATAAAAAAATTAGTAATGTGTTCAATGGCTAATGAGATAAAAACCTAGTACAAAGAGGATATTTTAAAGAAAAGTATAATATTGCATTATTAGCATTGATTAATAGGTTTCAAATTTTTAAACATAAGACAGATAACTGCTGGATTCAGCTATTTATAAATGCAAATTTATCTTCTGAAATATATGTAAAAAAAGAAAATTTTTTGATTTCCACAATTATACCAGGTCTAAAAGAACTGAAAGATCTAAATTCTTTTTTATTTCCCACCATTGCTAAACTACAAAGATTAGAAGAAGGAGTAGTGTATCCTAGTGTTCAACATGAAGATACATTCATATTATGTGATTGTGTACTATCTTGGTCTGGTAACACACCTGCGCTTACAAAATTAATATGTCTTACAAGACATATTTCATATAGAGAATGCCACTATTGCAATATTAAAAGCATTTATTCTTCATATATATATTATCCTACCAAACCACCCAGTGATCAGAATAGTAAAACTTATGATTCTAAAAATTTACCAATTAGAACTCATAATGAATTCAAAAGACAAATAAAAAAAATTCATAAAGCACAAACACAATTAGAAAAAAATCAAACAATAAAACATTATAGTATTCACAAACAAAGTATATTATTTAATCTCAATACTATCAACTTTCCAAATACATTCCCTGTAGATATTATGCACTTATTTTATAAGAACATTGCTGGTTATATGCTGGCTCATTAGATAAGTTCTTTTTTTACTGATCAAGATCAAAATAATAATAAATATATTTTAAACAAAAAAACGTGAAATAAAATTGGAAATAAAATGCATTTAGTATAAAAAAACATTTTATCAAGTTTGGGTCAGCCATTGCAAAACATTATTTTGCATTACCATGCCTATAAAGTAGAGGAATGGTCCTCTTGGATTACAATGTATTTACTACCGTTTCTTAAAAATTAATTGCCTAATAAATATAAAAAAGATGGAGATTGTTTGTAAAGGCTGTATAATTATATTAAAAAAGAATAATAACATATGATGATTTAAATAAAATTAGATCATATCTTCTAGCATTTTATAGACATTATGAAAAAGAGTATTATTGTGGGCTATCAGAATGTTTAAGCACAATGAAAATATATATATATAATATATTGCATGTTTCAGAAAGTATCTTTCAAACTGGACTCTGTTGTGCAACATAGCAATATCCAATTGAAAGGATGTGTGGAATGCTACTTTCTCTAACTAAATCGAAATTACATCTGTACAAGAATCTTACTAATAACATTCATTTACATAAAATTTTTAATTGTTTAAAATTTAACTGAATAATATATAACCAAATTTTCTCATCAATTTTGCCCAAAATTTATGATAAACATCTGGCTTACACTGGAGAAGGTGAACAAGATTTCTATTTTCCTTTAACTCCATACAAATTAACACAAGCTGAATTAAAAAAAATCAAATAACATTTTTCTACTATATCAGATGTGTTCAGGTTGCAGCTTATGTCTTTTAGTCAAACAGAAACAAAGTATGGTTGGCTTAGAACAAAAGACATCCATTATATTGGGTCAAAATGGATTTATCATAATAAAAACTAGTCACAAATTAATTATACTGTTATGGTAAAGATAGAAGTAGATATTTATGTGAACTATTTTAAATAACTATTAGTATTCGAAGTTCAAGATTTTTATGCTATTGTAGAATATTATTTAGTTTATGAGTTTGAAGAATCAAAAGTAATGTTGGCATATATTCAGTGGACATTGCCTGTTAAAGAAGATAGTACTAGTATGAAGACATTTAGTCAGTTAGGGTTATATGCATTTATTAATTCATCAGCTATTGATTATTGTGTTGGTTTTATTGAAATTAATAAGTTATTTTATATTGTAGATAAAGAGATAGATGATGATACATAATTGTGTATTATAAAAAATATTACACAGATTTAGAAATCATTATCTTTGGTATCATATTATTTAAATAGAATATGTGGTGTTTATATTTTTTATATATCAAATGTGTATATATATTTTGTAGTATGCAAGTGAATATTTTCATGAAGCTTCTTTTTTAAAAAGTAATGTTATAGCGAAACTGAATGATCACAATAAAGTAAAATTTTAATTTTACTTTATAGTTTTTAAATTAAATATATTTGAATTCAAATTTTATTCTAAAATATATTAACTTTTTTTATAACAAACAGAAAAATTTTTCAAAAGTTATCACTTACTATTATGAACTAATATAGAACTTATAAATTTCACAGAATTGATTATATGTTTAAAATATTTATATATATATATAATATTAAAAATATATGACTCATATGTATATATATATATATATATATTAGATTTTAGTTTACTCTATTTAGGATATTACTTAAAATATACTAATAAATAAATCTATATTTTAGATATTGACACTAGTAAATAGGAAGTCAGTTGTTCTACAAAACAAGATCTCATGTAATCTACATTATGGCTCAATTGATAAGGGTGTATTAGATTTCAAGTTGGGATCATAAATAGTTAGTGTAGTTAAATAATGCAACATATAGTGTAGTTGTCCAGAAAATAAAATTAGAAAAACTTTAAATAACTAAAGGCTAACAAAGATCAACCTTAGTTTTGTTGATAATATGTAAAAAAAATTATATGCTGAAATAAAACATGAATAATTGATATTCGGATAAAGTCACATGAACAAGACAATTATGCAAATAAAGATCTATTACTATCCTACTTAACAATAGATCTGGGTTTGGATATTTTAGTTAGCACTATATTTACTTAGTGAACTTAAGTTTATATAGATCAATAGAAACTTGATTGAATTTGAAAGTTGTAAGTAGCATGAAACTTATTCTTTCTAGGGACTTCATAGTCTTTATTTATATTAAAAAAGTACTGTTACAAGTAAATGGCTTATATATTATATGTCTAATTTATATAACAAACTCATAAATGCAAAAATGTCATAAATGCAATAAATATGATAAATTACAATTTTTTTCATGCTTGTTAGTTGAGCTGTAATACAAGACTGGATTAAATTCAGGTTCACATATAAATTGTTAAAGATCAAAATAAAAACATATAGTTTATTAACATAAGCTTATACAGTACAACTGTAATAAAATTAGAGTACAATTGCAATACAACTGTTGTTACAATTACAATACAAGTATTAATATAATTACAACATAATTAAAATACAAATAAAACTATAATATTGCTTATTTCTGTACAATTTTTATATATAATTATTAACCAAATTTAATATTATAGAATTATATATAATTATTTTGCATAATTATTAGTCAAATTTATTGAATTATATATTTTTATACAATTATTATTACTTTATAGATTTTTTAGTTTTTCTGCTTTAATACAAATATTGTATTGTATTGAATCTATTTTGAATATAAGTTGTATAAAACTTAATAAAAATATAATTTATTCTGTATATTTTTTTTTATAGAGCATAATATATAGGATATTCAATTACAACATCATATTACTAACTTTACTAAGAGACTTAATTCTCCTGATTTATTAGACAACAACTTTAGAATAACTTGTAGTCATCTACTAGTTTTTGATACATAACAATCTTATCATTAATAGGCCTAACAAACATATTATCAATTTTAAATCATCTAACTTTTCAAATATCTTGATATTATATTCACATCTAATCCATTATACAATATCTCATACACTATTTAAGAAGAATCTATTTCACTTGAATCACTACTTTTATTACATCCAAAATATCTAATATTTAAAAAACAACTTTGATACTATTGTATTCTTTACTTAGATCAACTAACTACATTTGATAACTCATGTCTTTTAGATTGAAAACACATATTTATATGTATGAACAAAATTTCTAAAGGCAAACATCCACTCTGGTTTAACTATCTAGAAGATCAAACTACAAGCCATTCACATAATTGTACTCTTTACCAAAATCTACATTTACCTAATACAAACTATTATAATTATTTAACTGGACACTTTTCTTTATAGAAAAAACTATGGCTTATTACAGTACTTGACAATCAAATCATTATTGGTAAAGCCAGAAGACAACTCTTCTTTTCAGAAACTATTCTTATTACTCACTGGCAATGTTACATAGAACAGCAATTTACTTGTCTATATCTACTTCCACCTATTCAATCATAAGCATATCCAGATTGCTTTTTTAATTCTTATATAATTGCCAATAAATGTACAATTAATATTCCTATCAACCTTATTTCTAGATTTTTTGATCAAGTTAATACACATAACAAAACTCTCAACTTTAATGCCAATCACCTTGATCTTATATACTCTATTGCAATTTGATATCTTATTCAAATTCCTAACTCTCCAATATCAACATTGCATCATGCTTACTTCTAACTATATTTAAATCTGGCATTCTAACAGACAATCTTCAACAAATTGCTAACTACAATGCACAATTATCAGAACTTCATTTCTATACTAATGGCTCAGTTATAAACCTGGGTACCTTACAATGCTCTATGTGCATCAGATGGGCCCAAATCCTAAACAACAATATATTGCATATATTTTAAGTCCAAACAAGATACTGATTTTGCTTATTTAAGTCTGAGCTCACTGCTATTTTATTAGCTCTTATTACTGTGCTAAGAACTGTACTATACACATATATACTGACTCATAATCTGTATTCTCTAAATATTACAGCCTTTCAAACTTAACTCATACTTTATCTTATATACATACATCATACTTTTCATTATGGAATACACTCACTAATTTTGTCAAATTATACAATATCTATATTATTTTTCACAAAGTTACTGCTTATCAAGATGATCAGTACAATAATCTTGCAGACCAACTTGTATGCAATCATCACAATTTATCATATTTTACCTTTGTGTATTACAATATCTACAACTCTGCATACACATTAAAGTTCAAAATTTTTTTCTATAATTACCTACTTATCACAGTATCTATACAATATGTCATGCATATATTTACTTATTATGGATTACACAAAACTGTTTTCAAAAATGGCATAAAATCCTTAATCAAGTTAATTGGCAAGCTACCTGGCTATATATCAATAACAATCAAAAAATTTCAAATTCTTTATACAGCTTTTAGTTCTTAACTCTTAAATCCTTTAGAATTAAAATTCTACTAAATGATCTTTCTACTCCATACATTCTACACAAATAATATTACTCATACTCACCTATCTGTCATCATTGTTACCAAATTAGTTCTCATCTTTACTGAACAACTTGTTTATTCAATCAACTGTTATACAGTCCATTGACATCTTATTACAACATACTTTAAATACTAAAATACTTGATACTATATCAAATACTATAACCAATCTGCACAACCAAATCAAGCTGTTGAATAGTATGACTATTAACAGTATATCAGATTTATTTTCAATCTTTTCAACTCTAACAGGTCTAATACCAAATAAACTTATTAACATTATTGCAATTTTGTTATTTAAAAGAATAGCTACTACACTTGTAATCAAGTTCTTACTTCACCTTAATTAACAATCTATTACAAAATCTGGATCCTATATTGTATCTCAAGATCTACAGCCCAACTTCCTAAATATAACACATTTTCAAATGCTGTCTCACTTCTATTACACTCTCTTTCACTCAATTCTATTAGTTCAAAAATAAACTCTTGGTATATCTAATAGATTAAATATTAAACTAATCTTCTACACATAATTAATAACACTCAAATCTAGATAAGTCTTGGTTTAGGTCACAGATAAATCAGTCTGAGCTTCTATTCTTTCTATAATATTTTAAAAGCAGAATTGTATTTTATATAAAATTTTAATTAAATATTCAATAAAAATGAAGACATGTTCTTACTATTAATATTAAAAAAAAAAATAATATCAACAACTCAATACTAGTTTAAAGATAAAAATTAGTATAATTAGTGTTATAACAGATTTTTAAATTCGAATAATAAGAAATCAATTTATGAACTTAGCTAGTTTTAAACTTATTTAGTAAGTATTGTAAATGTATTAGTTTTTTCATATATCTGTAATCAAATAATTAGAAATTTTAAAAATAATAAAGGTTTTACAAGTCTAAATTTTGCAATTGCAGATATTATATAATTTTGAATTTAAATTTTTAATATGATATAGTTTGAATTAGAAATTGGATCTAGATAAAATTGCAATTATGCTGCATAATAAAATACAAAGATAACCTAATTAATTTGATATTACTAAATAAAAATTTTTTTACAAACACAATTTTGGCTTAAAATTATAAGCATATAAAGCAAATTATTTTTCTTTTTCTTTATTAATTTATCTATATTTAATATCACATTTTAGATCTTTTAATTATCATGTTTATAATGCTTTTTTTATTACTAACTTTCTAAAGAATCCTCTTATAAAAATGCTTAATGTTCTCTTCAAAAAGCTAAAAAAACTGCAAAACATAATAATCTTAAAGAAAAACAATTAAAAAAACAAAAGTTTGAATTAGTTTATAAATATTTTGATAAACTTAGTAATAAATTTGAAATATTCAGGCTTTGCAAAAGATGCAATAATCAATTGATAAAGAATGAGTCAATTTTGCAAACTAGTAAATCTTTGTGCTATTCAACTATTAAACAGTATTATAATGAGT